GGTGGCCCCGGCGTCGGGCCTCCGATGCCTAAGTCAGTGCTCAGATCAAGAGAGAGAGAGTATGGTAATGAAATGAATAGAGAATGAGAGAATGTGATATCTCCGCCCCCTTTTATAGGGGGAGTGTACCTTTTTGGGCTCAAGTTGGGCTCGGCCCATATCGTTATGCTATATGTCATAGTCCCTACGTGGGCTTATTCTCCAATATGTATTCGTTTTATCCATCAACCCGGTATATTATAATATCATATATAATCTAGTCCCCCCACTCTGCTCGAGTAAGCATGACTCGATCCAAGAGTGAAATGTCTCTTTGAGCCGTTTCCGTCAACCCGCCACTGAGGTGTAATCTGAAAAAGTTTTCGATCACCAAATAATCATAAAACTTCCCGATGAGCACCAGGAGACCGTAATGGGTTGAATATCGAATGACCATCCAATGAGATAAATAATTGAAGAACCTTCAACAGAGGTCGGAAAACCAAAAGCCAAAAGCCGAATGACAACTGAGGTCGAAAATTTGAAGCCAAGAACCGAATGACAGCTAAGGTTGAAAACCAAGAACCGATAGACCACTGAGGTCAAAATCTGAGAATTGAGAGACCGCTAAGGTTGAAAAGCAAGAATCGAGTAACCGCCGATGAGGTCGAAAGCCGGGAGGCGAGAGACCGCTGAGGTCGAAAACCGAGAATCGAGAATCGAGAGACCGCTGAGGTCGAAAATCGAGAATCGAGAACCGAGAATCGAGAGATCGCTGAGGTCGAAAACTGAGAACCGAGAATTGAGAGACCGCTGAGGTTAAAAACCGAGAACCGAGAGACCGTTGAGATTGAAACCAAGAATCGAGTAACCGCCAATGAGGTCGAAAGTCGGGAGTCGATAGACCGCTGAGGTCGAAAATCGAGAATCGAGAGTCGAGAGACCGCTGAGGTCGAAAACTGAGAACCGAGAATCGAGAATCGAGAGACTGCTGAGGTCAAAAACCGAGAACTGAGAGACCGCTGAGATCAAAACCAAGAATCGAGTAACCGCCAATGAGGTCGAAAGCTGGAAGTCGAGAGACCGCTGAGGTCGAAAACCGAGAACCGTGAGATCGCTGAGGTTGAAAATCGAGAACCGAGAACTTAGAATCGAGAGACCGTTGAGGTCAAAAATCGAGAACTGAGAATCGAAAGACCGCTGAGGTCAAAAACCGAGAACCGAGAGACTGCTGAGATCGAAACCAAGAATAAAGTAACCGCCAATGAGGTCGAAAGCTGGGAGTCGAGAGACCGCTGAGGTCGAAAACCGAGTAATCGCCGATGAGGTCGAAAACCATATGCCCGATCTCCCAAAGGCTTGAATTTGAAAATTTGAACTTAAATCTGTTGTGTTTCGATCACCCTGTTCGAGCTCTCTTAGGCCACCCATTCCTATCGCCCCTCAGTTCAAACTTTAAAATTCAAGCACGTTATATATCCCCTTAGAAATCAAATGTTCTGATGCCACCATCATCTCCAACGACCGAATTCGATAAAACCAAAATCAAATAAAAATTATCGACCCGAATAACCTTACTCTGCGAACTGCCCCCGGTGAACATCCTCAATCTGCCATGAGTTTCTCGATCTATCAATAATAAGATCCATCGACCTACCACTGGGATCAAAAGCACAAATACAACATAATCAAACCAAATAAGACCATCAATCTGCTCGAGTTATCCACAATAAACAACATCGACCTGTCACTGGGATCAAAATCACAAATACAGCATAACCGCACCAATTAAAACCATCCATCTGCTCAAACTATACATAATAAACTCCCGCCACTGGGATTAAAAGCACAAACACAACAAAACCAAATCCAATAAATCCATTAACCTGCTCGAGCTATCCGTAATGAGCTTGATCGACCTGTCACTGAGGTCAAAAGCACAAATACCACAAAACCAAATCAAATAAATCTATTGAACTGCTCGAGCTATCCGTAACGAGCTCGATCGACCTGCCACTGAGGTCAAAAGCACAAATACCACAAAATCAAATCAAATAAATCCATTAACCTGCTCGAGCTATCCGTAATGAGCTTGATCGACCTGCCACTGAGGTTAGGAACCAATATACAATAATACCAGACCAAATAGAACCAAATAGAAATCATCGACCTGCCTCCGAGCTCTGCTCGAGCTATCCATGTCTTCGCACTTGCCCACCCAATCCGAGGATTGTTCAAAACAGGGGTCAACCTGCCCATCCCAAGGGGTGTACTAAACAAGCGACCACCCAGCCCGGAGGCCCCCCTCTCAATTTCTCACTCACATTCACACTGCTCGAATTATCCGTAATGAACTCCCTCAACCTGCCACTGGGGTTAGGAACAAATATACAATAATACCAGACCAAATAGAGCCAAGTAGAAATCATCGACCTGCCTCTGAGGTCTGCTCGAGCTATCCATGTCTTCGCACTTGCCCACCCAATCCGAGGAATGTTCGAAACAGGGGTCAACATGCCTATCCCAAGGGGTGTACTAAAGAAGCGACCACCCAGCCCGGAGGCCTTAGTCATGGTGGATTTTGCAGAATTCTTCCCATCTGAAAATCCTAAAAAGGTTTGAGACTTTCTATGATTTTCAGATTTGGGAAGAATTCTATGAAATCTTAAGTCTTGAGGTAGGATTTGAAGTGAGATTTCGTATAAGGTTTTTTGTTTAGAAATCCCACCAAATCTTAAAAAGTCTTAATAAATCCTAGTGTCAAATAAATTAAATACCTCAGGATTTTGTAAGAATTTTGAAAATCTCAATTGAATACCTCAGGATTTTTAAAAGTCCTAAAAAGTCTTAACAAATCTAAATTGAATACGACAGGATTTCTAAAGTCTTAAAATGTCCTTAAAAATTCTAATTGAATACACCCCCTAAATGTCTATTAAATTTCTAATTGAATACACCACCTAAAACTAGTTTGAAAGAAAAAAAAAAGAAAGAAAATGAAAAAGAGAAAAAGATTAACCTCGGGGGCCGACAAATTATCTCGAAGCTCGCAAATGAGTTCGATCGACTGAAATTTTCAACTCACCGTCGAAGTTGATTTATGAATCTGCTGTCAAAACATACTTCTATTAAACTTACACAACAATTATTTATTCATTTGTTTTGTTTTTATTTATTTTCGAGTTCATTTTTTTTTTTTTTTTTTTTTTT